CGTCCACGGGGAAGGGGGGTGGCGGCGGCGGCGGTGGGAATGGGAATGGGAACGGAATGGTAGAAATTCCGGATGCTATCCCGGCGGAGCTTAGCTACCAAGTGAGGTACGAGGCGGAGGAAGGAGAGGGGGGGAGAGCGACGGCTTCCAAGGATGGGCTTGCTGTGGAGCTGGCCAAGTCTCAGGATTTGAGGGTGAGACGCACAGAAAGGTGGGGGGGGGAGGGGCGTGTGTGTCTAGCTGTGGTTTGTCGCCCTTTTCGAGTGGCCAAGTCTCAGGATTTGAGGGTGAGACACAGAGAGAGGTTGGGTAGGGGACTTGTCTAATTGTGGATTGTCGCTCTGTATTGAGTGGCCAAGGCTCAGGATTTGAGGGTGAGACGCAGAGGTAGGTGAGGGAGGCATCCGGACGGAGGTTGGTGCGTGTCTATTGCTGTGGTTTGTCGCTCTTCTTTGAGTGCGGTGCTATATAGGGCGGGCGAAGGTCGCTGAACCCTTGAGTCGCGGCGTATATGAACGGAGCGGGTGCGAGGAAGGGCAAGGAGAGATCCCCGCCTCTGGCGCACAATGCACGTGGCGTACCGATAGCCTTTTTTCTAGCCGGTGCGTCGGTTTGCCACACAAAGAGGGTGTGGTAGTTGTTGATTCATGGACCCGCCGTGAAAGCGGTGAAACCAAGAGGTGCACGTTTGCTTGTCGTATGGCCTACTGCCTGCCACGTTGCCGTTGGTGTTATCGTCTGACTCTTTGTGGTGTCTTGGTGCGCTGCAAGCGTGTCGAATCGTTTCGGGTGAAAATCCGCCACACGCGGCGAACTAAGGATTGTCGCCTGCTATTGTTCCGCGTGTGGGCACTTGCTTCTTCCGTCCTGTGGTACATGTCCGTGATCTTGCTACTGTAGAGCGTGGTGTGCTGCGTGAGGTTCAGCACCGACGGCACGAAGATCGCGGCAGGGAGCCACTCGTGCGTGAAGGTCTTCGACGTCAACACCTTCAAACAGCTTTACGTCTGCCGCAAGGTGTGTGTGTGTGTGTGTGTGTGTGTGTGTGTGTGCGTGCGAGACACGGACGGACAGCGGCGACACACACGTCAGAGGGATGGACGTGTAGAGGGGGAGAGAGGCCAGGCAGTCGGACGGGAGAAACAAGGCAGGCCGATGCATTGAAGACAGCAGACAGAAACTCTTGTAGTGCAGCTGTGCCATATTTCTGTTGAAGATGGATCAGTTTCATCGTCTTCTCCTTGGAGGTACTCTCCATGTTTGTTCTCGAAAGAATGACTTTTGGCGCGTCAATCCCTTTAAGTCTGCGCCTGGCATGTCACTGCTGGAAAGCATGACCTGCACAAGCCTGATGATCATGCTACAGCGCGCGTGCACCAGTGGCTTTCTGGTTCCGTTATGCGACACATACGCCACATGAGACAACCACGCAAAACGCTACGATGTAAAGTCTTCCCTGGGTGTTCCCTATCGCCCATCCGAGGAAAAAAAATTATGTCGTAGGGAAGTCATGCGGAGAAAAGCTAGTTTTACAACACACGATACTTACAACGACGATGGATCGGGACTCTTGAAACTTCGCGAAGTTCAAGAGAGAGACACAAAGAGAGAGGGGCATTGCCTCTCTACTCTTTGTTTTTGTGCAACGTGCTCCTCAAATTGCCCTTGACAATTTAGTCCCGACTTAATTTGCTTGCCCGTTCGTGTTGTGTGCTTCGAGCAGCAAGTGCAGGAGGAGCAGGGGGCACCGCAAACGGCAGATTGCGGGGACCCCTACGTCCGCGCTGTGTGCTTCAGCCCGGACGGGCTGTCGATTGTGGCGGGTATGGAGAAGAACAGCGCCAAGGTACTGGTGCTAGAACAAGAAGGGGGTCGGCAGGGGGCGATAACGCTGTCTGGACACGAGGTATGCCTATGGCTGTTTGTTTCCGATGAGGGTTGGTGGGATGTTTTGTTTCCCCACGCAAGCCTTTTTTCTTGCTTGCTGTTGCTAGGGAGGACTGCTTTCGGGCGTTGTGTGTCTACGAAAGCAGAGTTTGGTGGCTTTCGTCTTCCTGTCTCACCATCGAACCGCTTCTGCTTGTTCGTGCACCAACAGAATTTTTGTCGCTGCAGGTGCACTTGTGAACCGATCGCTAGTAGTATTTTCGCCAAGCAGTGTATTGGAGACTCGTTCAATCGATACCAATCGCGGCTATGCCTATTGGATTGGTTTTGATACGTATCGATAGGCGATAGGCATTGTAGGACGAAGAGGTTGGACAATGATTTTGATCTATACCTGTTATGATTAGGCAAAAAGTGGCGATGCAATCGAGCAGTACCTAGGGACATTGTCACCTTTAGGTAAGCAAGCGGTTCATTATCGACGGACACTTCCGTACACGGATGGAAACGCCCACTAGGTAACGATTTGCCACCCCCAGTAGCTCCCCAAGTTCAAGGACGTCGTTTACATGTGCATGTCTTATTCCTTTCTTGGATCGTCTCTCAGCTTCCATATTTGTTGATCTGCGCGTACAGTTAGCTGCCTGCGCTCCGCACATAAGACGAGTACGAGCGATCCAGGGAAGCCAAGCCAGCTTCTTGATAGGTTGATAACGTCAGGCAGCCAAGAGAGTAGTCGAACCCCAACATCACATGCATGGTGGCACCCAGACAAGCAAGTCGGCAACAAATCGCCCCACACCCACCTACCCACCAACGTGGCACCACGGTCTAAACTGACCGACAACGTCTTCTACCCCGATGGACGTTTCACTTGGTTGTTGCCACGTTGCATGACATGGCATGGCGGACGGCCTGACCTACCAGAGCGAGGTGTATTCGCTGGACTGGGTTTCCGATATGATCGCCTCGGGGAGCGGGGACGGGCGAATCCGTCTGTGGGACTCTGTCACGGGAGCTTGCAAGGCATCGCTGGGAGATATGGGGGGCCCGCAGGATGGAGTGACTTCGGTCGTTCTCAGACAGGCGAGAGATCGGGGGGGGGGGGGGGGGGGGGGGG